TGCTGGGGATTCCCCTCCCCACAGTGTGCCCCCCCAGCTCTCTCCTGCCCCCCCAGCTCACCCCCCCGCTTGGGGGAGCCCCTGCCTGTGACCCTCCCTCAGCCTCTTCCACCCCTCCTGGCCCTGGGATCCACCAGGCTCCTGCCTTCTAGCCTGACCCCCACCTCTGCCCCATGGGAACATCCCCTCACCCTGGGCTAGGGATTCCTCCCAGCCCCTAGTGCAGCTCCTGGGTCCCCCTTCCAGGGTCTCCCCTTTCCTGAGGTGCACCCCTGGGCTCCCTGTCCCCTTCAGGAGACTGAACTGAGGGTGAACCCCACACCAGGACCCTCCACTTCCCCAAACAGCTCCCCCTTTCATGGAAGGCTCCTCTGACCTACCTTCTCGGGCTTCACCTTAATTAAAGCCCCCGTTCCACCCCCCATCCAGGACAGGGGCCCCCTTTATTCCCTGCCCCCCAGCGTCTCAGAAGGGGGTGAGCCCCATAGAGGTACCTACTTCAAAGAGCTCCCTGACCCAATCCCTGGGGTCCAGCCCCTCCCAATAACATCCCTGGTTCAGTCCAGAGAACCCTCTTCACTTATCTCCCCCCCCACACAACAGGGGATGGGGTGAAAACACCCTTCCAACCCCCACTTTTCCCCCACCACCACAGTGGCCCTTCCCCCACCAGCTTTTGGCTGCCGCCCTGTTTGGCCTCGTGGTGTCTGTGCCCATCGAGCGGCCCGAGGGAGATAAGAAGGCGGAGGAGCAGCCCCCGGAACCGCCAGTAAGTGGCTGGGTCTCTGCCCCTTTTCCAGACTGACTGTGGCTCCATCACCTCGGAGCGGGGAGTCCCGCGGGCAAGTCCTGCAGGGCCCAGCAAGGCTGGAAAACCTTTTCGGGTCTCGGTCCCCTTTCCGGCTTTGAACACAACCACCTGCCATTGGAGATACCCTGAGAGGCAGCAGGTTTAAAACAAACCAAAGGAAGTTTTTCTTCACGCAGCGCATCGTCAACCAGTGGAACTCCTCGCCACAGGATGTTGTGAAAGGCCAGAACTGTAACAGGGTTCAAACGAGCTAGATCAGTGGTCACCAGCTAGTAGATCGGGATCTCCTGGTAGATTTTGGAGACACTGACCAGTGATCCTGACCGTTTTGGCCCAGAGGCTATCAAGTGCCCGCACGTTAGCTGCCTTTCCCCACTCTGCTGTGCAGCTCGTGCCCTTGGCCTTGAAGCTGCCACTCAGGAGCCTCTTGCTTGCTGTGCAGGGAAGGGAGGATGAGGAGGGGTGCCCTCCTCCCACTCAGTCTCCTGTCTCCACAGAGCAGAGAGGGGGCACAACAGGACTTGGAGGGAGTTTGCTGGCTGCTTTAGGGAGTGGTGCAGGGCCAGGGCGGGGGTGAACCTGCCTTCCCAGCTGGAGCCCATATCCCAGTCATGAGCCCCCTCCAAGCCCCGGCCCTAGCCCCGAGCATCCCTGCATCCAGACACCCTACCGGAGCCTGCACCTAGAACCCCCTCCAGCACCTCAGCTGCCTGGCCCACGCTCAGCTCAGAGCCCCTCTCGCACTCCAAAGCCCTTCATCCAAGGCCAGAGCCTGCCCCCCAACCCTCTGCCCCAGCCAGGTGCAGGTGAGGGACGATGGGGGAGGGAGGGTGGATGGAGTGAGCAGGGCCGGGGCCTTGGAGAAGAGGCACAAAGGAGGCGGGACCTGGGTTCCTGAGCTAGATAAATCCATGGAGGCTGGGGGTTGGATCTTAGCCAGGCTGGGCAGGGAGGGTGTCCCTGGCCTCTGTTTGCCGGGGGCTGGAAATGGGTGACGGGGAGGGATCACTAGTTGATTCCCTGTTTCTGTTCCCTCCCTTTGGGGCATCTGGCATGGACCACTGTGGGCAGCCAGGACGCTGGGCTAGGTGGGACAGCGGCCTGACCCGGCTCTTTGTCTTGTAGTAGGGAGTTCCGCCGGCTCATATTCCCAAGATCGAGCTGCCTCTTTGGATGCCTG